ACAAGAAAATATGAGAGACGAAGAGTATGAATCGGCGGTGTTGGAATAAGCAGTTTACGAATAAGACAATGGATACTAGTGGGTCATGGAAACAATAAGCATGAAATAAAGGACATAGAAAATAAGTAAGAACAGAGGATAAATGGAATCACATGATGAGGAAACAAAAGGAGGAGTGGGTATACCAGAGCTGAAAAAATAAAGGACGGCACTAGAACGGAAAAATGCGGGAAAGATAGAAGGATTTATTAAGAGGACTGGAAAAAAGGGAAATGAAGGCACTTAGTCTGTTACACAGTAGGAAACTATAAAGGTAACGATTTCTAGCTGTAAGGTCCTGAACACCCTGGTGTCAAGAGACACGCCGGGGTTGCCCTTGAGATCCTCGGGGAATGTTTAACAGCTCGCAACGTCTAAGGGATCTGTTAATAAAGACAGAGACTGACCACTTTTGGGTACCAGAGTACAGTCTATTAAGGGAGTTACAGTGAGGGAAAATATTGTCCACATGTTTGTGACTTCAAATAATTTTGGAATATTAAGGGGTCATGCACATTAAACCTTAATCTTTTGGTGTGCGCAGTGTATGTAGGTTGGGGTAAGGCTGTAGGCCCATGCCTTACATCTCCCGAAGATACTGATGTTTATAGCAAATAGCAGAAATTGACAATCATGGTACATTCAGACAATTTGTGCCAGGCACAAGCAGTAACTTTCAACAACCCCGAACTGGTACCTAGTCCACCGCCCTTTCGCTCTAATCACTGCCCTCATCCTCCTGGGCATGCTTTCCACCAGGTGGGTGCACACATCCGATGTGATCTTCTCCTATTCCTCCTGGACACGCTCCCAAAGGTCCAGCATACCAGTGGGAGGCCTCTCATGCTTGGCCAACTCCCTCTTGAGATGAGCCCATAGATGCTCTATTGGGTTGAGGTCGGGTGAGGATGATGGCCACTCTAGCACCCCAAACTCCTACTCTCGAAGCCACTCCTGCACGATACGCGACTTGTGCTTGGGGTAGTTGTCGTGCTGGAAGATAACTTTCGAGGGTGAAAGATGGTAGAACTCGATCGTACTATTGAGCTCGTCCTGCAGTATACTCAGGTAGAGCGGTCCGTCCATCCTACCATCTATTTTGCTCATGAAACCCGCTCCCTCATACGACATGCAGCCCCAAACCATCAAGTAGCCGCCCCCGTGTTTGACGGTCTGCTTGATTTGGTGGCTTTGGAGGGCAGTACCTTCGCGAACCCAGGCGTATGAGCGTTCGTCGGAAGCAAAACGATTGATCTTGGTCTCATCCGACCAGATCACTCGCTTCCAGTCATCAACCGTCCAGTCGGCGTGGGCACGGGCCCATTCCAACCCATCGCGTATGTTTTTCCGAGAGAGTCGCGACTTCTTGGGCTGCTTGATTGCGACAAGTCTGCTGCCATTCAAAGCGTTACACACCGTCATAGGATGCAACGTGATGTCGTGCCGCATCTCGACAATCTTTGCCGCGTGAACGGAGGTTTTTGCCTCCCCACTAATAATCGACCGAACTATGTCGCGGCGAACTCTCTCTGTCACTAAGTGAGAGCGACCAGCTGAGGGCATCGTAGGACGCACCTCATCGCGGCTAGACTCTGCAATCGCCTTGAGGCCATAATCATGGACCGTACTCTTCCCCACGCCTAGCTGTTTAGCGATTCGACGAGTGCTATACCCCCTCCGCAACAGGGTAATGACACGTGCGTGGCGCGCCTCATCTAACGGTTTCATGACGGCCTAATCGTAGCAGCGGTTCTGGCCTATCTCTTGACTACTCGAAAGCCGCGAGGGCAAGTAAGTAGACAAAGGGAGGTAAGGATATAGATCTAGTACGCCATTTGGCATGAACTGTCCGGATGCACCCACGCAAACCAAATATCGTCCCCGGTAAAAAATCGACCCCTACAAAACTGAAACCCATATCCGTTACATATACTACAGTCCTACTTTACAGCCAAGGCCGAAATATGAATGGTAACTATACAAAAAAGGCACAAAAACAGTACGAGAATATTTTGAAGGCAATTATCCGGGCAATACTTTTCGTCGGTGCAAGAAGCCCATGGCATTACACTCTCAAGGCAATTCGGGGTGGAAAAGATACGACAACAGTTAACGAGATATAATTTATGGCATGTCATGCAAGGGGGCGTGCACCGACAGATTCCTTGTAGAAAATGCAAAGCCATGAAGTCATCGAAGCAGAAGCCAGCTGGACAGCTGCAACCAATTCCGCCGCCCGAGCGTGCGTGACAGTAGGTGATGTTGGTTTTAGTTACGGGACTGCCTACCATGGACAACTGCAATAATCCGATATTTGTCGTCGTCGACAGCCTGACTAAGATGGCTCATTTTTCCGCCTGAAAGAAAAGCATCTTAGCCGAAGAAACAGCCCGCATTTTCATATCAACCGTTGGTCGACTCCACGGTATCCACCATCATTTCCGGCCGTGACACGAAATTCACCAGCAACTTCTTTCGAAATCAGTGGCACGCGCCTACAGTTCTCCTCCGCCTATCACCCCAAAACTGACGGACAAAACGAACGAGCCAATTAGACGATGGAGCAGCTGATCCGCGATACTTGCGATAATGTGGCCGACTAGGAACTTCAACTGCCGCTGATTGAGTTCGCATATAAGAACACCATGTCAATGTCGAATAATTGAGTAGTGAGGAGACAATACAACGAGGAAACATCAAACAACATGGAGTATGGATATAGGTAGGCCTAGAGCACACTGTCGAGGATCGGCAGAGCAGAGGCGTGTGGTTTGTAAATTAGCGCGGAGCGCCCAAATATAGGCATGAATCTGCATGGCTGACAAAATGTATGCGGCTCGTTAGCAGACCACACTTGGGTGCCGCGATTTGAATTTCATGGCAGAGCTGCGCGGCAACCTCGTTATAGCAGTGTACGCCTTACTCACTAAAACGGGTGATAAGGAAATACGGTTACCTTACAGTACGTAACATAAAATTTTTAACCATCACAAGTCAATGTGCTACCCAGCAGTATGATCTGGACAACGGATGGCTTTGACCCACAAACGACATTCTTCAAACCTGCTTTCCTAGGTTTCTCTTCTCTGACTTATAACTTCTCCCTTGTTTTGTCCCTTAGTTCAAACATTGACTTTTGGTCTTGTGTCCTCCTCGTCCCACCCATCAGGCGGACCCGACAAGGACACGTGGGGTATGCTAATGGAACCCACGAGTCTGGTGGTGTAGCACTGTTTGTTTGGCGATTGTGTTTGCTCAAATTCCTACCCGGTATGAAAATCAAGCTCATTGATATTTTCCAATACAGCCTTGGCACATCCGTCAAAGTCAAACGCAAAGCGCGTTGCAGCAGCGTCGTGTAGGCGAGGACATCCTTATGGAACCACTGAGCTCAAACGCAACAATGGATGCCAGCCACGGCATCCCTGATACGTCGGATAGGGTTACGAAGATTATCATCAACTGCAGCAGTTGCCCATGGCGATGGTGATAAAAGTGTGTCCGACCAGATTTGTTCACACCTCTAAAGATGAAAGCTTGTCTCTGCACATGAGGTGTATGGTTGCATTCACGTTTGTTGTGGGTTTTTGCTGGCGCATCCAGCAGTACAAAACAGATCAAACAGCGATGATGCTCCCGCCGAACCAGACACGGCATTGCCCAAGCTGTGGGTTGATTCGCCCCTCTCGTTCTCCTACCTCCCATGTGAGAACTCACCACCACACTCAATTTTTTCAGATTCACCGGGATCTCCTCAGCAACAGCAGCAGAGCACGCCAGCTGGCAGGAGGGCAGACTGTGCCAAACGCTACCGACCAGAACCCTGAGAGCGTGCCCAGAAAACTGATTCCGACGTCGGGATTTAATCGAGTCAGATGAAACATTACATGGTGCCCATTCACGTAATTCGAAAATTTAAAACCATGCTCGCGAGAAAGACAAAGTATGTGATGGCAGAACTTTAGTGGCTCTATGTGGCGGAATGTTACCCAGGTTACGCCGAATGCTTTCGAGGCAACAGCTGTTTTCGCGGGTTCTCAAACCTTACACGAACGAAAAACAAACAACAAGGGTCACCAGACTACCCAATATTGGCCCAGTTCGCCCGTGAAAGTTATGTGCTCGACTCTGGAGCACCCGCTCGAAAAATACTGGGCCTGAGAAGGACTGTGTCGCCAAGTTGGCTCACCCACGAGTTTCTGCGGAGAACGCGTTTTTCTTTGGAACCTATTACTATTACTACAGCTCATTCCTTCACTACGACTTTGCATCTACGACTTGCCTGTACGATTTTACTACAGAATCTTGCCGAAGGGTGGCTTATGATGTACTGGCCTGGTTCTGGCGTTTTCTTGGTCTGAAGTTGACGCCAGCACGAGGTTATGAGGCGTCTCAAATCGCAACCAGCAGTACCCGATCACGCGGAATACACCCAAGTATTCTATTAAATAGCACGTCTTACAGTCCGCTTTTTGTTACACTCAACTCAAGTTTGGTTCAGCCTAGAAGTCCCGTCCAGCGTGGGTTCCTCAGGCGAGCCACTGAGAAAAAAACAATTGTTCTCGCCCGAAACGAAACTGCCGACTTTATCGAATACTTAGGGTACAATGTTTGTACTAGTTCTTCAAGTTGAGGTCCCGACGCGGTTTCTGTTCTTTACTGTACTTCTGTTGTTCGCCACGAAAACTTCTCCCCCTCTCCCTCCCAGGAAGTGAGTCACGCGGAGCTCTTTCCCTCACTTTTCCCGCTGTGGCGCAGACGCACAGACGGGGCGAGCCATCCTCCAGAACCTCCGAGGAGTCCTCGCCCATCATGCACTTATGCGCGTTACAGTAGAAACGCGACTGTGTTCCTCCCGCGGTTCACCCTACTAGTGAACATCCCAATACCGCCCATCCCGAGAGGCAGTCTGCTCCCGCTAGCACTACTCCTAGAACTACGTGAGCATTCCCAGCTTGAGCGCCGGCAGGTCTGGATGCAAACGCGAGAAGTACATAATACTACGCGGAAAAGGTAAGGAGCCCGATACATTTTACTAATCGCAAGGGCAGATCTCTGGGGAAGATCTACTGAGCTGATCTTCTAAGGATTCTTGGGCACACTCTGTGTGACTCACAGGAGCTGTTCGACAGGGTTGTTTTGTGGCTGCAGGTCTTCTAACGTGCCGGCCGCTACCATCATGGCACGCAGGCGGAGAAACCACACTGGGGATACTACCGGCACTCCCACCCCTGCTGCCAGCACTAGTAATCTGGTGCGAAGGCGTCGCCATCCTAGAGCTACTACTACCACAGCTGGAGACATTACTACTGCTGCGCGCGGCACGGCTCTCAACACGAGTGGCAACGGGGCTTCTAACATCTCTCATGTCTCTTCTAGCACGGCGAATCCGCCGGCCCGGGCTACGCTTGCGGCGGTGGGGAGTTCGGTGGTGGGGGGTTCTGCGGTGGGGGATTCGGCGGTGGGGGGTTCGGCAGTGGGGGTTTCGGTGGTGGGGGGTTCGGCGGTGGGGGGTTCGGCGGTGGGGGTTCGGCGGTGGGGGGTTCGGCGGTGAGGGGTTCGGCCGTGGGGGGTTCGGCGGTGGGGCCGGTTTCAGAGCCGGTGCCGGTGCCGCTTACCAGCAGCTTGTTCCCGCAGAGGGCGGCGGTGCACAGAGATCAGCTGAGGCGCGTGCCACAGGAGGTGATGCCAGATGATGGGCACTGCTGGCTCAAGTACGGGGAGAAACGACTCGTGAAATCCAACTGCCACAGGTACGCTTGTCACAGCAGGGTGTTGGGCCCTAGCATTCCCCTGACCTGTGGCAGAACCCGCATTCCCTGCATATTTTTTCTGCCAGACCGCATATACGGTGTAGGGAGAGAGTACGTATAGTGTAGATATGTCAGCCACGGAGCAGCCTTGCTAAACGAACAACTAAAGCTACTATATAGATGGGAGCCACATTTTCATGGCGTGGTCAACCCCCTTGCAGTTCTCCTGCCAGAGCACCATCCCCCTGTCATCTCAACTTCTCCTTTCCTCCCCTTCTCCCCACCTTCTCCTCCTCCACCATCCTCCGTCCTCCGTCATCCGTCCTCCGTCCTCCGTCCTCCGTCCTCCTCCCTTCCCCTCTGCTCTTCCCTCACTCGGTCCACGTGTGTCGCCGGCAAGCCTACTGTTTAGTCGACTCTGATGCAGACCTCCTGCGCCCTCCTAACCCCCCTGCCCTCCTAACCCCCCTGCCCTGTCCTCCTCTTCTGCAGGTCCTACTTCCGCTGTGCTCGCTCCACGTGCATCACCCACCCTGCCAGCGACGCATGGAACCAGGAAGATACAGGCGCATCAGCAGCAGGATCATCAGCCGCAGCACTGGCTTCGTCTTCCGAATCGTCTGATCAGCCTCCTGCTCCTGCTGCTCCTGTGGCTCTGGATACCCCTAACGTCGTCCAGAACTGTGCGGCTCGCAAGCGCGTTGACTGGCAGCTGATTCCTTGCACCCCTGCCGCCCTGCCGCCTCACTTGTCGCCCGGCACTAACCTTGCAGCGCAGCACCAGGCGGGCGGCACACCCCCTGAGTCCATCCTGTGCTTCCGAGTGACATACCTCAACGAGCACAACCACACTAGCCTGCCCATCAGCCTGCGCCTTGCGCTCTCTGCAGCACAAGATGCAGCACAGACCGGTGTGGGAGCGGGATTTGGATCTGAAGCACAAGTTGAGGCGCAGAACGCGCAATCCACTATATTCGGAAACGACCAGCAGTCGGTGCAACAGGCGCAGGCGCAGCCACAGCATTTGTTGCAGCAGCATTTGAAGCTCTTGGCGCAGCAACAGCAGCAGCAGCAGCAGCAGCATCTGCCGCAGCTGCCATCCTCCTCAGAATCTCAGCTGCAGATGCAGCAGCCAGAGGAGTGCAGAGCGGTCTTTCATTCCAATTCCGCCCCGGGCTGTCTGACCCAGCACCCGCTCTCATCGCCCTCCCTGGGCAAGCGGTCAAGAGAAGACGACTCCCTGCTCTCTGACCCGTGCATTCCCTCGCATGCCTTGCAGTCGCCTCTCGCCCATCGCACGTCGCATGACTTTGATGCCTCCCAGGCATCTCCAACGTCCCATGGCTGTCAAACCCCCCGTGCGTTTCATGCACCTCATGCCTCTGGCTGCCTTGGGCCTCCTAAGCCCGGTAAGATGGGTCTCTCGCCTCCCGCTGACCGCTGTTCCCCATGGACCAACCCCCGGGACCAGCAAGGTTGGAAGGATGCTGGACGGTGCACTGAGGTGCAGCAGCCGCAGCAGCAGCCGGAGCAGCAGCAGCAGCAGCAGCAGTGGTATAATCATCACCATCAGCTTAGTTTTGGGGCGCCTCAAAACCAGCAGTGGTATAACCATCACCATCAGCAAGTGCAGCAGCCTCAGTTGTGCGTTAATCACGAGCAGGCGCAGCAACCAACCCAGCAGGACCATCCATATCAGCAGCAGCAGCCACTCGACCTGCACTCTTTGCTCGCCCACTCGGCTTTTTCCGCGCCTGCTTCTGCTCCTGCTGTAATTTCTGCACAGACCCTTGGCACGAACGCCATTGCTGGAGCAGGTGCGACTGGTGCAGGAATAGCTGGAGCAGGTGCCACTGGTGGTGCTGCCATTGCTGCTGGTGCCATGGGTCCTGCTGGTGCCATGGGCGCTGCTGCGGCTCCCAGGGCTTCACCATCCTCATCATGCGCCCTCCCGGGAGGAGACTCCCACTCTCTGCTGCTCAGCATGCTCCAAGCCAACGTCTCTCGTGCCGAATTCTCTTCAATTCCACGCAGCCATGGCAGCATCATGAGCAGCGGCAGCAGCTGCAGCAACAACGGTGGTACCAACAGGAGCAGTGAGAGGAACGACAATGGCAATGGTGGGACTAGGGTTATGGCTATGCATTTTGAGACATCTAAAAACAATGCTGGGACCAAATGGAGCAGCGAGAGGGGCCACAACGGCAGGGGTATGCCTACGCATATGGCTGGTGGCAGCTGGAGTGATACCTGGGGCAATGTGATGACTGGTGGCAATGTGATGACTGGTGGCAGTGGTGGCACGAACATCACCAGGAGCAGCAGCACCACCAATGAGGGTCGGGCTGTGGAACTTGCCCCGTTACCAATGCGAATTTCTGTGGCAGAAACTGCCCCACAAGTTTTTCAGGCGCCTCAGAATTCCCAGTGGGTGCGTTTTACTGTGGCAGATTGCCCGGCGACAAAAACTGTCCCGCAGACTGCCACGCATGCAATTACAAGCTCGGGTGCGACAAACCTTGTCACCAATTGCCACGATTATGAGTCAGCACCACCTCAGCTGCAGGGATTGCTGGAGGATCTGGTGCCACGTCAGCTGCTGCTCGGTTCACAGCCGCACACACACGCTGTGGCACAAACTCAGGCTCAAACCCAGACTCACACCCTTCCTTTTTTGTCCCCTCCTCTTGCACCAACCCCGACCAACACTCCGTTTCAAGCATCAGCGCCTCCGTGTTCCTCACCTCTTGCCGGGCTTCAGCCGTGCAGCTGCTGGCCGTCGCAAGAGGAGGGGCAGAAGTTGCAGCAGCAGCAGCAGCAGCAGCAGCAGCAGCAGCAGCAGCAGCAGCAGCAGCAGCAGCAGCAGCAGCAGCAGCAGCAGCAGAAGCAGCAGCAGCAGCAGCAGCCGCAGCAGCAGCAGCACCAGCAGCACCAGCACCAGCTGCACCAGCAGCAGCAGCAGCAGCAGCAGCAGCAGCAACAGCTGCCACTACAGCAGCACCAACAGCAGCAGCAGCAACAGCAGCAACAGCAACAGCAGCAGCAACAGCAGCAGATGGCGCCCAAAATGAGGCCTGAAGCTCGGGTGCAAGGGCAGATGCTACCACAGCCTCACTTACCTCCTCTCCCCCTTCCTTTCACCACTAGCGTTCTTCCATGCGGCAGTTTGTCCCCTAGTGCGCATCTCTGCCCCACCGCTGCCCATCCCCCTCTGATCCACGATCACACGCCATACGCAAACAGTACTCCTCCCTTCAATGAGCATTTCCACCTCCCCCAGGTGCCACCTGCAGAATTTATTTCTAAGACGCCTCAAAAATCAAATAGTGCTCCTCCCCTCAGCCAGCAGTTTCACCTCCCCCAGGTGCCACCTGTAGAATCCCATCAGGCAGGGCTAGGTACGCAGTCATACGCTTCAAAGTCGCAGGAGAATCCAGGTCAGCAGCTTGTGATGCCAGGTCATCAGTGGGAGGCTAGCTATCCCACCATTGGATTAACCAACAGCTTTGTGACTGATAATGCCGCTTGCGAATCTGCTGCTGGCGATTATGCTTTCCAAAACCATGCGACGCCTAACACTAGGGCTCTCAATCCTGAGATGTGGAGTGTGGCTGCGGCGCAAAAATCTGCAGATAAATTCGCAAGGACCGAAAGCGCGGGGCGCGAAGGGGCTGGAGATGGGGAGGATGAGTTGCTGATGGAGGCGGCAGCATGCCTGGTGCAGCAGGGAGGACTGGAGATACTGGACTGGCTGCCAGACTGTCACGCAGATGCCGAAGAGACACTCATGTGAAAAGAGGTGCCTACACACGTTGGCTGTTCGCATTCGGCTGCATGAATTGGACTTAGGTTGCTATGAAATGTGCATGCGATAAATTTACAGGATAGTGGCCAGGTGGAAATATGACCTGTTTTGTATTCTGCCCAAATGGTTTTGCATGGTCCCAACATAAAAATTGTAATGAAGCGCAAAAAGTGAGTGTCGAATAGTTGAGTAGCAAGGGAAAACCATACAAATGAGGCAACATCAAAACAACAGGGGGCCTGGATATAGCTAGGCTTGGAGGACACGGTCGAGGCTGGGCAGAACGAAGATGTGTGGTTTGTAAATTAGCGCGGAACGCACGTATTCAGGCATGAAACCGTAAGGCGGGTGAAATGCATGCGGCTCGTCAGGAGGCCACATTTGGGTGCTGCGATTTGAATTTTGTGGCAGTTTGAGCGACAACCCTGTTATAGCAGTGTATGCCATAGTAATTAAACCCCAGATAAGGAAATACCATTTCCTTACACTCTTCCCCCTCCTAGGTATGGTCTTAACTTAGACCGCCAACGCCGCGCACATTGTGTGACTGGAGGTAGACTCGTAACACCAGGTAATTCTCGATCTGTACCAGGGATACCCAATTGTTTTCCAGGGACGTTCGTGTTAGAATGCAAGAATGTTTGACTAGTGGGAGAAACCTAGAACATATACCTGCTGGGGTTGTACTCACTAGAAGCACACACCTAGGCTAGCCTATAACTTCTACATACAACATATGTATAAGTTGACACACCCCCTAGGCTAGAGAAGGGGTGGTGCTAAGCAAGAAGCACACAGCTCAGGGTGGCACTACTAGTCCAACCACTGAGGCAGGGGTCCAGAGACCAGTCAGCAAGAGTAGAAACAAGACTAAAGCAAGTCAGGGTGGCACTACTAGTCCAGCCACTGGAGGTAAGGCCACAAGGCCAGTCAGACAGGTATATATAGTAGAGAGTATACAATCAGGGTCCTAACAAGTGAGAAGCTACAGGAACAAGACCAAGCTGTACACAGTGCCGCTGATGATCTTTAGGCGCAAGCGCCTTAGTATAGATATTAGCTGTGTTGGCACCGGAGGCCAAGTGAACTACGCGGGCCTGGCGACGCTGCTGTAGCTCACGCAGGAGGAAGTACCGCAGCTGGATATGATTCGCTCTGCCCTCAAGTCGAGGCTCCTGACACAGGAGAATCATGGCCCTGTTGTCAGCGTACAGGACCGGGGCAGAGCTAGGCCGCTCACCTAAGTCTGTGAGCAAGAAGGTCAGCCAGCGTAGCTGCTGTGCCACCATGGCACCGGCGTAGATCTCAGCCTCACAGGTGGACTGAGCAACAGACGACGAGCGAGTGGATCTCCAAGAGATAGCACCCGAACCAAGGCTAAAACAGTAGCCCTGCGACGACCTGAGAGTCTCAGAGTCGTCTGCCCAAGAAGCGTCTGTGTGCCCAGTGAGGACCACTGGCCTGCGTCCTCCAAGCACTAACCCCATGCCTGATGTACTTGCTAGATATCGCAAAACCCTCTTACCGACCAACCAGTGTTGTGGTCGGTGTTTGCCTGTGGCCACAAAGCGAGCCAGGATGCTGAGAGGGTATGCAAGATCTGGGCGAGTGCAAGTCATCAGGTACATGAGGCAACCCACCCGCTCTGTGTAGGGGCCGCTGGGCTCTACTGGCTCCTCAGGAAAGGGAGCGGAGAGCCCATGGTCTACAGGTAGAGGTGTGGGCTGTGCGGAGGAGAACTGAAGGCCGAACCTCTGAAGGACGTGACGCACCAAGTGTGACTGTGTCAGAGTGATGGTGCGTGCTGCTCTGTCCCTGGAGATCTGCAGGCCAAGTTAGCAACGCAGCTCTCCAAGGTCAGTGCAGGTGTGTCTCTTCAGCAACTCAGCCTTCACGGAGGCCAGCGCCAGAGAGAGAGAGAGAGAGAGAGAGAGAGAGAGAGAGAGAGAGAGAGAGAGAGAGAGAGAGAGAGAGAGAGAGAGAGAGTGAGAGAGAGAGAGAGAGAGAGAGTGAGTGAGAGAGAGAGAGAGAGAGGGGGGGGGGGGGGGGGGGCATGCTATTTAAGCCACTCATGAGCCCATCCTAGCTCATTATTCAGTTTCGTTGCGAGTTTCTTCCCAAATTTGGCGGCGGCGAGAATGATGGGGTAATCTGCCGGTGGACCCTCCTTATTCAGTCGGGCTTGGTCGATTGGATGGATCTGTACCTTCCATTGGTTGGAACTCCCCTGCCCCGAATTCCACTTCTTCCAATCCTTTGGGCATTCCGACTTGCGGTGTCCCGGCCTGTTACACCTAAATCAACGACCCTTGAAATATGTAATAGCTGAGCTTAAGGCTACAACAACGTGTACAGTGAACAGGCTCGATTGATCCCCGAGTGCGACTTCCGTCGTAAGAACCCGCCCTTGGTTTGGAGAACGAATCCAACCGCTTTGCAACCCTCTGTGCCTCCATCAAATCCATAATTTCCCACAATTTTAATTTAAGGCGCATATCCTATCAAAGGCCCCCGATGTATCTGTCAAAAAAATTGTTAGGGTGAATGTAGCACACCTGGTTGCTTAGATTCTTGAAGATGTTGGTGTAGTCCTGGACCAATCCGAGTTGGCGCCACATGCAAAGGAGGTCGTGTGCCTGATTTCTTGCATTGACGTGTTCAAAATGGCGACGAATTCTCACGCACCACGATTGCCACGTGCTGTACTCGTCCACATCGCAAAAACTTCCTGCTCAGTGATTGGTCGTGCGAAAACGCCCGTCCACATGCGGCATCGTATTCGGCCCCTGCGATACGATTATCTGTTGCCACCAATCCATCGCCGATCAACGTAGGAGGGATACAGTGTATCGGATCTCTTGCGAGCAACGAGGTTGCAGTCGTAAAAAACATTCAGATGGAAACTCTATCTGGTGACGGACAAGCTGCCATGCTGGCTTGAGTCTTGACTATGGCCGGCGTCATGTTGATATTTGACGTTTGCAGTCCGGCAAGGGAGGTTATTGGGGGCAGCAGATTTGCATTTGCCCTTTCGCCAACTGCCGTTCGTCCAATGATCAAGGTCGGGTTGTTTGTCGAGCCCTGGGGCGAAGTATTTTGGAACGCTGTTGACTAACTTGCTCCTGCTGTCCTTCGTTTACCGTTGGTTTAGTCGTATTGTGCCGTGTCTGATTGAGTTGGCTTTGCAGTGCATATATTTCCGATTCTGCTCAGGCTTGTTCAGCACGCAGGCGCGTAAACTCCTGCTGGTACAACTTGTTGGTGAGACGCACTTCATTGAGTGCTGCCACCTTTTCTTTGGCAGTCATGGCATTAGACGACAACGACTCCACCATTTCGTGGAAGTTTTGCGTGGCTTTCAGGATGCTGTCACTGCAAACACAGTCGTAGCTGTAGGCAACTATTGATTAATATTACCAAGAAATTGGATATGCAGTAAGCGCAGGGTGTCAATGTCCCTAAATGCTGGTATTGCAGCGGAACTAGAGCGCAAGGCTGAGGATCGTTCGCTCTGATGGCCAGGTGTGTAATGAAGTGCAAACAGTGAGTGTAAAAAAAATGAGTAGCGAGGAAAACAGTACAAATGAGGCAACATCAAAACATTAGGGGGGCTGGATATAGACGGCCGAGGATTGGCAGAGCTGAGATGTGTGGTTTGTAAATTGGCACGAAGCACACATATTCAGGCATGAAACTGTAAGGTGGGCGAAATGCATGCGACTCGTCAGGATGCCACATTTGGGTGCCGCGATTTGAATTTCGTGGCAGACTGCGCGGCAACCCTGTTATAGCCATGTACGCCTTAGTAACTAAACCCTTGGATAAGGAAATACCACTTCATTATACAAATCTACATTGGACTTGAGTACCCTCTCTTTCAAAATGTTGACAATTATGGGAGAACATCACAAAAAATATGTGCTCGCAAAACGTTCACGAAGCATCCATATGGATGCTTTGTAAGCATTTTGTGAACAAGCGGGTGCAAACACCGTGCGGACTTAGATCCGAACACTTGGCAAATGGTTGGACAAGATTTGCTAAAACACTTTGTGCGAGCTCTTGGAAACGACAGGCGTTGTTGTTTCGAATGCAATGTAGTGTTTCGTCAAATGCATTGCGATGTATATTTTGGGGTAGCTTGTGTTTTCTAAAAGAAACAAAAATACAAACATTTTTCCAATCTTGCCATCCATTCCTTTTGTTTTATTGACCATTGATGTATCAAATGACATTATTAATACAAATTCATGTATTACAAACGTTTACCACAATTAACACCGGCGGTAGCCGGGGTGGGGGGGGACGCCGGGCACACGGCTGTGGCAGGGGGTTATGACAGGGAATCAAGGGCTCCCATAGGGCTGTCAAACTGGGGAGCTGCCCGCTCCAACCCCGCGGCCAAGACCGCTCCCGGACGTCCCTCCTCCCCTTGCCCCCTTCCCCCCGGGAGCGGTCTCCCCCCACACTCAACTGTCAACCCGGCCGCCCTCCTCGGTCTGCAGACAGCAGCGCCCCCTCAGCTCGCTCCTTGCGTCGTGCCCCTGGCACACTGTCCTGCCCATCCTCCTGCTGCAACCCCAAGTGAAGCTCCCGCAGATGCACCACTTGCAGCTCCAGCTGGGCCCCCCATCCCGAGGTTGGCGCCCCTCCTTGCTGCCCCTCCAGCCGGGTGCCCGCATGACCGCCGAGATGGGATCCCTGCCCTTCCTCTCCGCCAGGGCCAGGCTGGCACCCAGGTACAACTCCTGTTCCTTCCGGACCCACGCCACATGCACCCGCTGTCGCATGGGGCCCTCCAGCCCAGAGCTCCCGCCACCCTGCCGCCGGTGGCCCCCCACACCCTCCCGCCCATGGTGCGGGCCACCACCCACCGATGGCTCGGGCCCCCCAACGTTTGTGGGCATAGGCCGCCCTCCCGCCGGCGGCATGTGCTGCCCCCTGGCCATCAGCCCGGGCTGCGTTGCTGCGGGTGGCATTCCCCCCCGACGGCGCAGGCTGCAATGCTGTGAGTGGCCCGCGTTGCCCTCCCGCCGATGGCTCAGTCACCCCCTCCGCCCTCACCCCCCCCCGCTGGACGTCCAT